TAATTAAGAAAGTACAATATCAAAAAATTTGGATTTTAAAATGAATTAAAACTAAGAAAACCATAATATTTAACTTTCATTTTCAGATATTGAGAGTTATAGGTGAGTATAAAACCTTCAAAATTAAAAGCATGTACACTTTGCTGTTGTTGTAGAAATTAGATTACTTATTTTAAAAATACAGCATTCACTGCACATAATATACACAGGTTTTCCTATTGGGATAATAGAAGTTGGATTACATTAGTTTGTTTTATTGGAACACCAATAAAACAAAAATTAGGTGTAATTATAGATTCTGAAAGATTGAGCTTGATATTGGATGGTGGTTAGGTATATAGAATTCATAATTTTTGTAGTTTGATCATTATTCTTTATATTCATTTGTAATTATTGAAGTTTAAAAGAAACATTAAACATTTAATTTTATTTTATAATTAACTTGAGCAAATTGAATATGGTATAATATGTAATCAGATATTATGTCTTATGTATATTTACAAAATGTTTAAGATGTAAAAAGTTTTTCAAATGTAAATATTTTCTAGATATTTGATGTATTTAAAAATAAGGTCAATACTTACTTGCTTAAAAGCATTGGTCTTGTGAATAAAAAACTAAGTCTATTATATATATCTATAAATTAAGATTCTAGAGACAATTCTCAAAACAAAACTATTTCATCAATGAAATACTAAAAATAATAACAACATTTTAGACAAGAATTTCATTCTCAGTTTTAAAATACAGATTTCGATAGTGTACTGATATGTAATGTAAAACCATAGAGATTTGATTGACCTTTGTTATTAGTTCCTTTATATAGTACCTGCATTAAAACCTTAAATTAAATTGTTCAATAGTAAACATTGCAAATTATGAAATTGCAATGAATCGTACATGGGTAAGTGCTGCCAGATATTTAAAAAAGTGATATAAAATAGAAAAAATCTAAAAAATATATTTTTTTCCAGAGAATAAAAAATGCTAACATTTTACAGTATCTGTTAAGAGGTCAATGGCTTCTTTTGAAACTATTTTAAATATTTTTTGTTGTTTTTTAATTATTTATAACCTGCTGAACATTGTTGGCATCAGAAAAAATTGTATGGAAAATATGACTTGGAAAACCTAGATTCTGAGAAAATCTGCTATCCCAAATATTTCACCTGAAATATAAAGAAGGGCAAGTTCTTTATTAGGAATTGAACTTCAAAACACTACTCGTGAAAAGCAGTATGACATTCTGGATTGTTGTTATGAATGTTTTAGAACTCACAATAAGTCAACAAAAAAACAGTTTAAATGTAGAAAGTAGATCTGCGATGAGCATTCAAGTGCATTTGGCAACAATTTCTTACAATAAGAGTGAAATGATAACTGAAGCAAAGTTTGTCTCATTATTTTTAATATTAAAAAAATACAAAAGTATTTCTGTTATAATTACAGAATATGTGTAAGATACACATATAGATTTTCTTCTGAATAAAAAAACATTTATTTTCTAAATTATCATAAATTTTGTTATCCATTACAATAGTAATTCACACTCCTACTCNAGACACACGCACTGAGACCGATGAACAGAAGTGAATAAAAAATGGCGCTGCGAACTAATGTAACGTCGTATGGTGAGTTTTTGTTCGTATCGTGGAGCAAAAATATGTTCGAATTTCATGTATCCTGAAAATTCATATGCTGGGGTGTTCGTATCCTGAGGTACCACTGTATTTATAAACTATATAAAATTTAGAATAACTTTGTAGTTTAAGTAACATTTGTAAGTAATTAATAATTTAGATATGTTTGAAATTGCAATATATGGATGCACAAATGCATTTTAAAATGCCAAATATATTCTCTTTAAAATTCCTGAAATATGCATTATGCATGTTTAAAAAGTCAGTAAAATATACTAAAACTGGTAGGTTGAAAATGCATATATACTTCTGTCTCTGAGGAAATCTTACTAATGTTTATTACATCACACTTTTTAGGTGGGAAGGGATAAAAATGTAACAATAGGTGATGCAAGGGATTTCAAAAATTATGACTTTACAAAACATGCATTGTTTCATTTAGGAGGTGCTCATTGAAGTCAATTATGAATAAGTTACATGTTCAGTAAAATTTTATAACTTTCTATATTACTTAATCAATCATTATTGAATTTATTTCTATATGTACAATTGTCTAGAAGATTTTTGAAGATGTTAGGATTATTCTAGTTTCCCTCATCCTATGCTTTTGTCACTGTTCTAAAGTAGTTACTGTATATATTTTCGTTTTTAGCCCTGCACAAATAATGAGAAATGAGTAAATGGTCTTATTAAGTTATTAACTACAGTCACTATAGATTTAGTGTTGAAGTTGTTATTAATATTTCTTCCCAACTGATATCATGAAATCTACTAAAGTTATAAGACAGCAACTGCACACCGGGTTGTATATAGCAAAATATGACCTACTTGAACCTATAACCAGTGCGTATAGAGTTTAATCTTCCAAAACGAACATTTTCTTAACCCCTTCTGGGTTCTTCTTCAGGTAAATCAGCTGGATTGAACACAAAAATGAAAAATTTGATATGTTCTGAACAAATCCGAATGCTGTAGATTTTGAAAACTACAGCATTCGAATTAGATTAAACTCTATACGCACCGGTTATAGGTTCAAGTAGGTCATATTTTTCCCTACTAAAGTTAATTTCAGTGCAACTAGAACTTGTCTGTAAAGAATTTTTTGAAAGATTTAAATTTAACATTATTAAATTAATGAATATAACATTTACAATAACTTTAGGAAATTCAAAGAAGTTTAAGAATTTGAAAAATGAGAGATTTCCATGGCAAAGTAAAATGTGTCATTTTTGGGACTTTAAAAGAATGCAAGTTAGACTGTTTAAATTTAAAACATTTGAGTTTTGCATGCCCATCTCTAATTAGATGGCAGGGTGATATTTCTTGATTACAAGATGTGAATTGTAGTGGTGAAAAAAAGAGTCCCTGCACAGATAGCAAAAATGGACTATAGATCATTTGAAAAAAATAGCACTTGAGATCATGAAAACAAGAGTACTTTTCTGTTAAAGGGATGTCAGCTGATATGGTAAGATTCAAGTTCTGAATGAGGGGTTTGCACCACTCCCAGAATTGTTGACCCTTCATGAGATATTCACCTTCAAAGATCAATTTTTAATATGTATCAGTATACTGCCTATTCTACATGCTTCACATGTAGTTGTGTGCTTCAGTGCTTGCTATTGCTTGCACCTTAACACTCAGGTGGGTATGAATCCCCCTCTAATTCTACATAACATCAAATACTCTATGAACAGTCAAGTGGGCTATTCAAAGCTGGCATAGTCACATGCGCTAAATAGTTAAACACATCTCTTAGTGATCAATAGGATGACTCTCATGCCAAAATACTGTATAATAAAATAAAATGGAGAAGACACTGAGGTTGGTGTTACATGTCGGCTAAAAACAAAAATGTACATGTAACTCCAACCTCAGTGTCTTCTCCATTTTATTTTATTATAGTTAAACACAATAGTCTTAGCAGAATGATGTGGGCTACAGTGTCGCGCATCAGATTAATGTTACAACTGGCATCCCATTAACAGAAAAGAACCAAAACAAGTTTATAAAGCACTTATTTAGTTAGAAAAATGGTCAGATTTGCAAAATGTGCAGTAAAAATCCTAAATGCATATTCTGTGCATATTTAAAAATGCATATAAAATATGCATTGTCAAACACCCTTAATTTGATACTTTATTCCAAATCATGTTTGCATTGAAATTTTAACTTCATAACATTTAAGGGGAAAAACTGTATATCATTCAAATCCAGCCTGTAGTAATTAAGGTTATTTGTAATTTGCTGCAAATGTTAATCAACAGTGATTGCTGATTTAAAGATGAATTTGCCTATTGTCAAATAGATGCTGAATACAATTACAATATCTGATTTTGATCTTTTGAATGCTGTTATTAATGAGGACACAGTGTAAAATAATAAAATATAAATATGAAAAACAATAATTAGTCTGTGCAAATAGAATAAAATATTAAAATGCATTTAATGTGTAAGTTATTGTAAAATTTAAAACAAACAATAGTGTAAAACAAAATTTTACAAACAATAATTAAATAATATGAAATATATATATATATGAATAAATATAGGTTTTAACAATATGATAAAAGTATTTATATATAAATAGAATAAAAAAAACAACAAAACTAAATGTATATCAAAGCAAATCAATTAAGTAGTAATATCTATATTTCTTATATATTTATCACTTGTTTAGTGATTATGGATCCACTGTATATACCTAAATGCAATAAGATTAGTATTTAACATCATTACATATAGATAAATTAAAAAATTACTTTTAATTAATATTTATTTTGAAATTGTTGTGTGTTTATGACAATTATTTTGCTAAATAAAATTATTTTTAGTATGTAATAATCCACAAAATGATTGGTATTTAGTTTGTCCTTGTGATGAGGAAAGAAGCAGCTTTCTTCTCACTAGAAAATTTTTTATCATGCTTTTTTTCTAAATTTTCTATTTTTATCTAAATTGAAGGCTCATAATGCTTACACTTGCAGTTCTGAAAATAGGACTATATAAGATTCTGTTCTTGCAGTATTAAATTTATTTATTAAATAAGATTATGTTACTGAAAAATTAAAGAAAGAATAATTGTTATATCTATTTATATTAATAATTGACAGTATTAATAATAAAATAGAATATATTAATATTAATCAAACAATCTACATCATTACTTGTAACTTGAATTTCATTTATAGTTATAGTCAGTCTTACAATACAGTATAAGTATGTTGTTTAATATTTTACTCAAATAAATTTTAATATATATTTATAAATTTGAATTTTTTAACTATTATTTAATTATATTATGAATAACAATTAGAAAAAGTTTTATCATATGATGATATATATTGTTATATTAATTAATTCTTATTTTTAAGTTGTTTGTTATTTCATATGAAATGGTTTTGTAAGTATTGTGTTAACATCACTTTGTATCATATCAGTTTTATTATTGTATCAATAGATATAAAAATTTTAAATGAAAGAATATTACACAAAATTTTTATAATATAAAATACAAAATTTATTACTATATCATAAAAAATTGCTTATTCTTTGCAACATAATA